GACAGTCCAGGATAAAGTCCAGTCTGAAGGACTGAACTGGGTTAGGCGAGTCTCCAGAGAATTCCTAGCTCATGTAACGGGAAAACTGGATTTCTTTCTGAGGAAGCCTCTGTCTGAATGTGTTTCAAGGGACTGAAATGAATGGTACTTTTCGGAGAAAAATTCCCCAGAGCTGTGGATGTGGTGGGAATTGGGAATTGATAGATTCGATGCATCTGGAGAGTCTATACTCTGTGTAGAACTTGCTTTCTTGAAAATCAGTGCAGGTTACACGTAATTATACACTTAATTAAAGCTCACCCCCTTTGAATTTTGAGGGGCTGAGATGGTGAGATACATTTATCGAGGGACTTTGGGAGAAAAGGGTGGGAGGAAACTATTTCCCCATATCGGCTCTTCATTTGATTATTTTTTCCCTCAAGGAAAAGTTTAAGACAGTCTCTACTTCCTTCTTCAAACTGGGGAGGAAATGGAAATCTTTATCCAAGGAGGGAAAAAGAGGAGCCACTACCAAACGAGGACTCCGGTGAGACTAAAGCAGCTCTGGTCAGGATCATTTCCATCCCACGGCCGGAGCAATGTGTTGGCTGCACCTCAAAATTATCATAAAGGAAAAATGAACTGACAGGAGGGACTTTTCACAACAGTTCAAGAGGGCAGGTCAATGTCGGGCACCTTCTTGTTTCCACTGCCTGTAACTAGGTGCTGCCCGCTGGGAAAATACAGGCATTTATCTGCGATAGAGGCAGAGTTGGAATAAGCCGCCGCCCGAGGGCGTGAAAGAACTGTCCTCGGACCCTCTTAAGCTGAACGCCACGCGCAGGTCAGGCCAGGGAGGCCAGGCCTCGTGGCCACTGTTCCTCGACTGCCCGGTTCCGGGGAAGCAGATGCAGGCAAACGTGACTTCGGCCCCCGAGGACTGCTCTCAGGACGTCGTTTCCTCGGCCACCCGTGTGAGGTGGGCGTGATCGTGCTGATCCTGAGGACGAGGGAGCTGGAGCTCAGGAAGCTAAGTGAGCGACCCGCACTTTCAGACTGACCCAGGTGGAAGCCCCCGGGCGTGAGGCCGCGTTGCGGGAGCCACACTCCTGCCTTTGCACCTTCTTACGCCTCATCTCGAATGAAAACGTGCAGCAGCTTGAAACCTCGGAGAGAGGAGAAAGGCAGCTATCCTGGGGTGCTGGTCAGAGAAGAGTGTGCTCAGCTCCATGCAGCCGGGCTCCATGCAGCTGGGTTCCATGCAGCTGGGTTCCATGCAGCTGGGCTCCATGCAGCTGGGCTCTCTGCAGCTGGGCTCCATGCAGCTGGGCTCTCTGCAGCTGGCCCCTGTGCAGCTGGGTTCCGTGCAGCCGGGCTCTATGCAGCTGGGCTGTGTGCAGCCGGGCTCCATGCAGCTGGCCCCCGTCCATGCAGCCAGGCTCCATGCAGCTGGGCTGTGTGCAGCTGGGCTCTCTGCAGCCAGGCTCCATGCAGCTGGGCTGTGTGCAGCTGGGCTCCATGCAGCTGGGCTGTGTGCAGCTGGGCTCTATGCAGCTGGCCCCTGTGCAGCTGGGCTCTCTGCAGCCGGGCTCCATGCAGCTGG